TGATACAAGTTTCTTTTCCTGGGCAGCAGATTTTAATTTGGGGTAGCCCTTTTTGTTTATTTTGCTTTAGTATCCCTTGCATTGTAATCTAGTCCGCTAACACATCATTAAAGCTGATGTCAAAGAGTGTATTGCCTATGTTTTCTTCTACGTATTTTATGGTTTCAGGTGTTACATCCAAGTCTTTAATCCATTTTGAATTAATTTTTATGTATGGGAAGGAATAAAAAAATTGCATCTAGGAATCTCAGAGTTCTGTACAAAATAAGCCCAGAAACACACACCAAGGCATGTGGAATAGAATTGAGAGTCCAGAAATGAATCCACAGTTATATGGACAATTAATCTTAGACCAAGAAGCTGAGAATGTACATTGGAGAAAGAAAAGTCTCTTCAAAAAATGGTGTTGGGGAAAATGGATAGCCACATAAAAAAGAATGAAAGACCACTATTTAACACCTTATACAAAATTCAACTCAAAGTGGATTAATGACTTAAATGTAAAATATGGGACCATAAAATATATAAACTAGAAAATGCAGAAGAAAACACTGACAAAACACTATATGACATTGGCTTCAGTGATATCTTTGGGAACTTGACTCCAAATGGCAAGGGAAACAAACACAAAAATAATTTAATTTTTTTGTGTTTTGGGATTACATCTAACTAAATGTTTGTGCACCGCAAAAGTAACTGCTATAACAACAACTGAGTAGAGAAAATATTTATACATCACATGGCCAGGAAGGGGCTAAGGTCTACATAAGACTATGCAACTCAAGTTAAATAATGGGCAGAAGAACTAGACATTTATAGACACTTCTCCAAAGAAGACATGTGACCAACAGGCACATTAAAAAAAATGGTCATCATCATTTATTATCAGAGGAATGCAAGTCAAAACCACAATGAGATATCTCCTTCCTGAAACTGGCTCACATCAAAAAGTCCAGTAAAAATAAGTGTTGGTGAGGGTGTGGAGTAGAGGAAATTCTTGTACACTGCTAGTGGGAATGTAGACTTTTCCAGTCCCTGTGGGAAAAAGTATGAAGGTTTCTGAAAATATTAAAAATAGATCTAGCTTACACACCAGCAGTCTTATTGCTAAGTATCTATCCTAAGGATTCAAGAACACTGATTGGAAGTGATATATGCACTCTTATAGTCATTATAGTACTATTTACAATATCCAAATTAGGGAACAACTTAAATGCCGAATGACAAATGGGTAGACTCAGAAGATGTGTATACATGAGCTATAAAAAAGATGAAATTTGCCATTTATGACAACATGGATAAACCTGGAGATTATGCTAAGCAAAATAAATCAAAAGGAGAAAGACAAATACCAGATAATGACACTCTTATGTGAAATATAGAATAACTAAATAAAGTAACAGGAAGCCAAAACCAAAGAGACCCTAGAAATCTTACTGTAGAATTGAAGCCATCAGAGTGGGAGGATAGAAGGTGGGCAGGGGACCGATGGACCATGGTGGAGGGTTATGGGTATTTTGGTGGTGGGTGTGTTGTGGTAACATACATCTGAAAAGGTGGGAACCTAATCCCCTGAATCACACAATGTGGTAAACCATTGTTACCTCAATAAAAATAATATAATTTTTAAAAATCCTTTATTGTAAAGTGATATAGATTGAGAGATAACATTGATATTTGTGAAAATATGAAAAGGAAAAGAAAGAGTAAAAGAGAAATAAAAGGGAAGGAGAGAAATGTGGGGACTCTCATTCATTCATTCATTTGTAAATATTTGTTTTTGCCAATATATCAGCCTTCTGTCCTTTCAAGCAGAGATGGTCAAACAAATCCTTATGCTCTTCTGATGTCATTCCATCTATTGGACTAGATTTAAAAAATGAAGACCCAAAAGGTGAGCTAGAATGAAAAGAAGAAACATAAAGATATGAGCAAGGACATACAAAGATTGGATGCCTAAGGAAAAGAGCTATGGAAAATTAACTTCATGACACAGAAGTATATCCATCGCTCATCTTTCGCCCCTAAAAGTATACCTAATTTGTTTCTGGAATCTTCTCTGACCTTGTTCTGGATAATGATTCTGTGGTACATTGAGGATCTCACCTATGCAACTGAACATCAATCAGAAAATCAGTTATTAGTGTCTTCCACGTGCCAGGCATTGCGCTAGGCACAGAAATACAGTTGTAAATGAAACACCGTCACGTGCCTCTACGGATTTTACCCTCTGGTGGTGTGTGGTGTCACATAAATGGGAAAATAATGATCTGCTGTGATGCTTGCTGCTAAAGAGATATTTAAACGTCAGCTCAGTTGAGGGATAGGAAAAGTCTTCTGGCAGAGAAAACAACCAAGTTAACATTTTCCCTTTTTAGCTCTTTCTTTTACAAATTCCATCAGAATAAACCTGTTTTGGAAAAACCTTTTATTTACTTCATAGCTCAGAAAAAAAAAAGTAAATTTTGGTTTGATTCAAAAGTTAGTGAATCAGATCTGTGTGACCTGATTTTTCACTTGTGAATTATTTCAGGTGAAGTTCTGACTACACTTCTAAAAATGTGTTAAAATTCATGCCTCTTCCCCCACCAATTCCTACCCATTTAAAAATGTTTAAAGTTTCAAAAATAAACATTGGATCTTTTGTCCTGTATTTTTACCACTCATTCTATACATAAATATATGCAGGCAGTACCCTATTGCAGCTTAACATAAAACAGATGCTCTTAAAAAATTAAACTAGTATGTATTTAAAATACATCTAGAGCATTTCTTTTTTTATTTTTAAACTGCAGTTTTATTGGACCTTTAGAGGAAAATTGCCAAATCATGATAGGTTGCACTGGATTTCATATAAGAGCTGTTTGCAGCGGTGGAAGAGTCTCAAAGGAATGAGTGCTTTTTCATACTTCATGCGCTTTCATATAAACCTGATTTAGGGAAATTCATTGCTGCTGCTTTTTCCTTTGCAGAAACTTTACGAGTCAGCATCCATTTGTAGTCACTAGTCCTTCACAAGTCTGTAGTGACTTCTACCTTCTTGATGGACTTTGTTCTGTTTTGTTAAGTTTACATCTCTGGCCCTAATTGCTCTACAGAACTCCAGTTGCTCATTGTTATTCTCATCTCATCGCTGGAATATCTAATAGGCCATTTCAAATTTAACATAACTGAAACAGCATCCCTGGACTTCCACCCAACTCCCTGGAACCAAACCTGTTCTTTTCACAGTCGTTCTCATCTTAATAAGTGGCAACTAGAATCTTCTACTTGCTCACGCCAGACTAGAGCATTATCCCGACTCCTTTCACAACTCCTTTCACAACTCCTTTCACAACCCCTTTCCCCACAAACAGTCTATTGGTGTATCTTATTGGTGGTACCACCCATTTATTTCTCCCCACTTCTCTTACCAACATCCAAGCCACCATTTTTTCTCATCAAGGCTATTGCACTGGATTTCTAACAGTGTCCTCTGCTTCCACCCTTGTCTTTCTATAGCCCATTCTCTGCAGAATATTCAGAGAGAGGCTTTCAATCTGGAAATCAGATTCATTCACTCCTTTGCTCATAATCAACCCAATTACTTTTCTTTTTCTTATTTGGGATTAAAATATATGGCTGTAAATACCTATATGAGCTAAATACCTCTCTGATTTCATATCTTATCCTTCTTCTGTTTACTCTGATTGGGTCATACTGGCCTTCTGGCTGTTACTCTGCATTTCAAGACGTCCTGTCTCCGGGACTTTACACTTGTTCTTTCGCCATCATTCCTTCAAGTCTCTGTTTACACGTCACTTTATCCCAAGGAGCCTTCCTCTGTACTTTTTTCTCTAGCCTTTAACCTTATCTCTTTGTTATTTATCCATCTGTGACTTTTCTTTTTATTATTGATTACCTCTTCTCTGTCTCTCTTACTAGAACTGAGGCGCAATGAAACTCCACAAAGGCAGGAACTTTGGCTTTTTCTTCACTGCTCTGTCTCCATCACCTGCCTGAGACATGCTGTGTGACTTAGAATCAGGACGCAGATTTTCTGATTCTAAATTCGGTGTACTCTTCAGGTTTTTGTGTGTCCTTACATAGGTTTTCCATTCCTTGAGTGTAGTGATTGCATATTTTTCTTTTGCCCTGCCCCCCTCCCCTGTAAGGTATAGAACTGTGCTGGACATGCGTTAATGGTCAAACACTGTCGCTTGACTGAATGACTTCATGTGCTCCTTGTGGCCTGTCATCCACAGGGGTCGCAAAGTCACTCAAGGTGAGGGCCTCCCTGGTGGCGCAGTGGTTGAGCGCTGGGTTGTGAAGCTGCCCACGGCCTCTGCAGCACCTGCTCGATCCCTGGCCACTGGGCGAGGGTCTCACATGGCGCGCAGACCTCTCCTGCAGCCCGCTGCTCCCCTTAGCAGTATACTTAATCGTTCTGCCTGTTCTGCCCTCCGCTCTGACTGTGGTGATTTCTCTCACCCTCCTGCGCTTCTGACTGTACCAGTGCTTATATAAACAAATAAATAAATCTTAAAAAAAAAAAAGTCACTCAAGGTGAACTTCACTCTGTAGGAATAAAAGACAGGCTGCTGTTACTCATTGGATACACAGTCATATTTGGAAATTACAAGCAGTTTGCTTGAATGAAGAATACAATATGGTCCGAGCCTATTTCCATTAAATAGATCATTTGTATTCTAAAATTTGAAAACTCCATGTAACTCTAACTTTGGGAGAGTGAATTAGACTGAAAAATATAGGTCCTGGTTTAGTCTGAGACTTAAATTTTTTTGACAGGTTGCTGGTATTTCTGCACTTAACCTCCCAATATTTTTAAGGAAGGTATGTCCCAGATATCTTCATTTGCAAATGAAAAGGCCTCCATGCTTAGCTTGGATCTTTCCAAAGCAACTTCTAAAAGGCTCCATTTTATGTTGATTGTGTTATCTTGTCTATGAAGTTTCTTAAGTGAGTTTTGTAATCCTGATGGTCTCCCTTTGTTTCCACAGGTGATTTGTAATTCATTCACCATCTGTAATGCAGAGATGCAGGAAGTCGGTGTTGGCCTCTATCCTAGGTATGGTGGATGGCATTTCATTTACTGCACGAAACATGTTTAATTCCCACCCAGCTCCCCAGCCTTTTGGAGATAGTTAGAAAGACTGTTGCAGCTGCTAGCTCAAGAGCCAAACTTGAAACCTAGTGACAAACAAGAAAATGGAAACTGTTAAATTTAAGGGAAATAATTTTATAACTCCACATTATATGTTGTAGTTTTAACAAAGAGGCAGACCTCAGACTTAATTATTGTCCTCAAGAATTTAAGGGTAAGAAGTTGGGGATTGTAGGTGCTAGTAAACATCAGGCTGAGATTTGATTCTTCCCCTGTCCCTACCTTGATCTTAATCCCCAACCTCCTGGACCAAAGCACAGGAGTATTTTACTAGACTCACTGCATTGAAACCAGGAGAATTTATTTTGTCTTTAGGGTTAGCATGTTCCATGCTTCAGGAAGCAAGAGAACATTCAGGGATTGGCCCTCTGGCAAGCTGTCTCCATCTATCACTAAGGTGTCCTTTGATGTTGAACTCCCAGGCTGAGCTGCCACAAGCATTCCAGAGGCTCTTTTGTTTCTTTTTTTTTTTCATGCCTTTGGAGAACCAATACAAACATAGCCTTTCTTATATTAATTGCTTATCTGAGAATTCAGTTTCTTTTTTATTTTTCACAAATGTTATAAACTGTAAGTCTATTGAGATTGGTCTGCAAGAAGTAAATAATATGAGTTCAGACCATTTGGTTCAAATTCAGGCACACTTAGTAGCTGTAGGTCCCTGGACAAGGCATTTGACTTCCATGTATCAGTTTTTTCATCTATAAATGGCTCTCATAAGATTATTGTAGTAATTAGGGCCTCTCTGGTGGTGTAGGGATTAAAGTCTCAGCACCATCAGGCCAGCCACTGTGGCATGAGTTCTATCCCCAGCCAGGGAGCTGACCCACATGGCGCAGCAGACCTCTCCTGTCTTGCATGCTGCTCCCCTAGCAATATATTGCAGTAGATCCGCTTGTTCTGCTCCCCCCTCTGTCTCTGATGAATCCTCTCACCCCCTGCACCTTTGGCCTACACCTCAGTTTTTGTTTGCATAAATAAATAAAAATAAATCTTTAGAAAAAAGATTATTGTAATAATTAAATTCAATAAATGGATTCAAGTTCTAAAAAGGTGTTTTCTACCTAGTAAATGCTCAGAAATATTGTATTTATTATTAAATATGGTAGCAGTGTAAATCCATTCCTTTTCCCAAATGGTAAAAGAAAAAGTGCTTCTAAAGTAAGAAAATAACTGGGCCCTGGTGAGGATACACAAGGATTTAGTTATCGTTAGCAAGGTAATTTCAGCATTCTATTTTAGAGGAAGTATACCTAATTATTCTTCAATGTAGCAGTGGATGTTTTTGCAGAGGTGACAATTCCACCAAAGTAGCTCAACAAATGAGATTCTGTGTGGGAAAGGTCGGTGATTATTGCTGCATCCCTTTATATCAGGGCTCATTTCTTTGCAAAGCAGGTTTGTTCCCCATCTTCATGTTATATTGCCTTATTGGCTGGTAACTGCAACAACAACCTCCCCATCCCCACCCCACCCCCAATAAGGCCTCAGGAAATGTTTTTATTAACAAACCTCCTTAATTAACCTCTATCTTAGGGAACATTTTTCGTTCTATGAAGTGAGCTAGTGACATTTCTGTGATTGCCCCTAGAGCATTCAATCCCTAGCCTTCACCCGCCTCCTCCTTCCAAATTAAAGTGTCTTTTGTCCACTGTACTCATTAAATTTAGATGGACATTTGACTCCATCTGCTGAGCCATGACGACGGTCTCCCTTTTCTTTTTCTCTCCTCCAGTATGTCTTTGCTCAATCACAGCTGTGACCCCAACTGCTCAATCGTATTCAATGGCCCCCACCTCCTACTGCGTGCAGTCCGAGACGTTGAGGCAGGAGATGAGGTAAGGAACTTACTTCCCACTACCTGGCTTCTATTTCCATTAGAGACTTTCCCAGCATGGTTGCTCCCTAAGACCACTTGAGCCAGAGGGCGAAGAAGATATGTAGCCTCTACCAGCCACTAATTTACCCATCATTACTTCTGTGAGATTATAGATGGACTGACTGGTTTTTTAATCACCATTTTTTCTGGGTGCTAACAGTTCCTGCTGTGTATGTGAGAGAGGAGTGTGTGCATGGCAGAGTGTATTGTGCCCGTGGTGGTTCAGCAGCCTCTCACATCCCCACAAATGGTCATTCTTCCTGGGCAGCTTGTGAATGAGATCCCCAGGGTCTCCTTGCTCCTAAGGCCTCTAATCACATTTTGAAGTTGACTCATTTTTACCTTTGTGTTAAGAGAGCAAGCAGATTTTACTCTTTGTGCTTGTCACTGGACCTCTACAAACTTAGCATTTCTGGGTGATGATTGAAGCAAAGATGTGAAGGGAATAGAGGACAATGAAGTATGACCTCCAGCAGTGAACTGGCTTTGAGTCCTCTCGTTTTGCAGACTGCCAGGCTAGCTCCCTTTTATGGGGAATCTTCTTGGAAGTCCGGGGTCTCCCCAGGCAGCTGCAGATGGTCAGCTCCTTGGCTGCTGTTCCCGAGCCCGTGCAAGGCAGACACAGTTACTACTCATGTTGAATTCTGGATTATAGATATTTACGCTTTTAGAACCCAGTTTCTTTCTACCTTCCAATTTAATAAAGTGCATATTTATTGCAAGGAAAACAGAGTATCATAAGCTTTTATTGTGTTTATGCAGCAGTCCGACAATAAAACCTAAACTCAGAAATGCCATATATTATGTAGACAGGGATTTGGCTTTGATAAAACTCCCTCCAACATGATTTTCAACTGAATAAGCTGTCTCTTGTACAGTCATTTATTGAATTTTCAGTTTTTAGGACCAGTGTACTAGGTATACTGGGATATCTGTCAATAATATGGAGAATTTAGTTATTTTTTTCCTAGAGCCATTTGTGACTTTAAGGCAGGTAAGAAGAATCACTAATCATTTGCAGCAACATTACTTTGGGAACTGAGGGATTTCTGTTGTTCTTGCTGCTGCTACTGATGTTCTTGCTCCTGCTACTTACTGCTGCTGATGGTGTTGTTTTACTTAAAATAAATAGTGTACTTAAGCAAATAGGAAGACTATTAAAAATGGTTGGAATTATTAGAAACAATAAAGAATTTTCTTATATTGTTTTATAGGCTTGGCTGCCAATTCTTGATTGGTTTTCATTTAATTGAAAAATCATCATTTGATGTTTATTTGGCTGTTTTCATAACCCTCTCTTTCCACCTCTGCAACAACACGTAATGATTCCTCTTACCTTGCACAAAATTGTTCTGCTGAGCATCAGGATTCAGATATGTTTCCTAGAGTATTTATCAAAGTAACGTCAAAGGGAGAATTGTCACATAAGTCCTGCTTATATCATCTTGTTCAGAAAATGAAAATTTCTCACCCCATTGTCCATGTCATGGTGTGTGACATTTCTCTGCTCTGTTATCTTCCATCTAAGAGCACCGTTTCTACCCAACTCATCAGGCCCTTTCAAATATCATCTCTTCTATAAAGCTTTTTCTGGTTTCCCATATTAAAGGTCTTTCCCTCTGCAACCTCCTTTAAAGTGGTAATTAATATTTCTTTCCATATTTATTCTGATTCTTTAGGTGACTTCTCTGTCTAGCTATGAGCTTCATGAAGACAGACAACTGTGGCTGATTTCTGTATCTCCTTTAAGTGCCGAGCACTTTGCCTTGCACTGAGAAGGCATTCAGTAACTCTTGCACAAGCTCTTACTGAGCTTACTGTAAAGATTTCAGGTTTCTCACTGGGGGTACTACTGGCATTCCAGATGGAAAAATCATTCACTGTATGGGGCTATTGCAGCGCTGTGGAGTGATGGTGTCCCTAGTCCTTGCTGGGTTGACGTCTGTAGCCTTTCCAAGCACCTTAAATATGTCTTATACATTTAAAACTGACTCCTTAAGGCATAGTTTAAGAAAGGAAGAACCACGAGAAAAGATAATTAGAGGTTCATTGAGGGGTGTAATTCCTTTTCATTGTGCAAATATTTGTTTTAGTTAAACTGGATTGGGTAATACACTTAGAAATTTTGATAATTTCATGGCATCAATTTTGCATGCTTGCTTTCTTATTTATTAAGACAATAAAATCCCAAGTTCTAACACATTTTTCTTTGAGATGTTAGTACCAGAGTGTAGTCTTCCTTAGGCAAGTCTGCATAGTCTCTGTCATATAGGAGATCCTAGTACATATTTGTTGAGTAAATGAGTGAGAATTTCTAAAGATAAAAACAATGGTGGAATAGAATCTTAGAACCATTTAGAAACTACGACTAGTCCTCACGTATGTCTCACAAGTACCAGAAAGTAACATGAAAGCTAGTTGACTGCTAGTAGAGATGGGAACATTCAGACCTCAGACTAGGAGAGCTGGAAGACTGCGTAGGGTTCCACAGGGACAAAGGTTACTGTGGAGGGGAGAAGGAGGATGGTTCATGGGTGATGTGGTAGGGAAAATATGGGGACTCAATGATATCAGAAAAAAAATAATAAAGGAAGTGACAATGGAAAGTTGCTAACCTTTGTTTCTCTTTACACAAAGCTTCCTTTGGATCATTTCCCATCAAATCACCAACCTTTATAGAAGTTCAGAGCAGGGTGCCCCTAGTAGTGGTAAAGAACAGTTAAGGACATTTTCCAGAGACGTGACTGCCAGACCTTAAAGGGTCCATAGTTAAAGCAGACTGACACACAGAAAGACATTCTAGACAAAGACACAGAGGCCAGAGACAAAACGGTGAATTCAAGGAATAGAAGCAGTTCACGTGAATAGACTGAAGAATTCCAGTGTGACCAGTGGATGAGGGGTGTGCAGGGATCAGGCCAGCAAACTCATGGGGGCCTTAGTAAGAACTCAGTTCATCTCAAGTTCCCATAACAGTATCTGGTATGTAGGAAACACATAGTAAATATTTATGAAAGGGAGGGGGCAGTGGGGTGTCATTGAAAGGTTTAAGCAAAGGATTGGGTTTTTGGTATGCGGGCAAGGTTGGGAGAGTGAGGGTCAGGCTGATATGGTAATCCAAGCAAGAGTCGACAATAGTGGCCTGATGGCAGATGGAATTCGGTTGTAGGCTCATGATGGGTGATGTGAAGTATATAATATTTAGAAGCTAAAACAAATGGGATTTGATAATTGAATAGCTTTAAGAGTGTGACAAAGAGAAGAAACAAGAAAAACACCAAGGTTTAATTCTAAAAAGAAATGATATTTTTCTATCTATTTTTAAAATTCAGAATCAGGGCCTTCCTGGTGGCACAGCGGGATATGTGCAGCAGTGTGAAGCTGTCCACACCCTCTGCAGCACGGGTTCGATCCCTGGCCAGCCAGGCAGCAACCCACATGGCACAGCAGACCTCTCCTGTCATTCCCGCTGCTCCCCTCAGCAGTGTATTTCGGTTGTCTGCCTGTTCTGATCCCCGCTGGTGAATCCTCTCACCCCCCATACCTCTGGCCTGTACCCCGGTTCTTGTATAAAAATAAATCTTTAAAAAAAATTCAGAATTAGAACTAGTTTATAATTGTGTCGCTGTAATTCCAGATGAAAATGAAGTTTAATTTTAATATTGCTTTATTATCCAGTCAATTGTACATAATGAAAATATGAGCCATCATAGAATAGGGGTTCATTTTGCCCTGAAATTTTCAAGTAAGCAATATATTCAATATCCAGCAAATCTCTTTCATGTTATTACTCTAACATTGCAAATGATTTGCTATATTTCCCATAAGAACTCTACTAAAATGACAAAACAATGGTCAGTGGCATTAATATTTTAATGTAATTTTGTCCTATCCCATTAAGGCATCCACTGTTCAATAGCAAAGTGTCATAGAAATGTTCCCACTAAATGAGCCCTACATTTAGTGAACAGATTCTCCATCAAAACTGGCAAGTTAATGAATCTTTAATAAAGTTTTAAATTTTTGACTGGTAAAATCTAGCATGATTGCCAGATAGTCCTCTGGATTTCCCCCCCCAAAACATATGAATAAGACTTTTTTAGCTATTAAGAGCTATAGCTTTAGGCCTCCCCTGTGGGCTCAGCAGTTGAGCACTGGGCTGTGAAGCTGCCCGCAGCCTCTGCAGCACCTGCTCGATCCCGGCCACCAGCGAGGGTCCCACGTGGCGCGCAGACCTCTCCTGCCGCCCGCTGCTCCCCTCAGCAGTGTATTTCATCAGTCTGCCTGTTCTGTTCCCCGCTCTGGCTCTGGTGAATTCTCTCACCCTCCGGCGCCTCTAACTGTACCCAGTGCTTGTATAAATAAATAAATAAATCTTTAAAAAAAAAAAAAAAAAAAGAGTGATAGCTTTGATACCGTGCATTTTACAAACCTCAAAGGCATGGAAAAAGTCACAAAGGGGAGAATGGGACAATTTTCATTGGGAGATGCATATTTGGCCAAGCTTGAAGGAAGAGGAAGTTCTGAGTAAGTTGAGAGTAGAGCAGAGAACATTGGCTAGCTAAGGCTGCCGTGTCCTGTACACATTGGTGTGGGGTGCATTTTTTTTAGAGGAGTCTTGATGTATATAAGTATGAAGATTGTAGGGTGTAGGGAGAGATGCTGAGACTAAAGTGGCAGACAAGGGTCAGTTGGGGAAATCTGTGTGCCTTTATCCGATGGGGAATGAAAAACCATAAAAAATCTTCATGGAGAGAAATGTCATGATCAGATGTGATTTTTAAAAAAGATCCCATTTATTTATTTATTTATTTTTAAAGATTTATTTATTTATATAAGAACTGAAGTACAGGCCAGATGCACGGGAGGGTGAGAGGATTCACCAGAGACAGAGCGGGGAACAGAACAGGCAGACTGACTGAAATACACTGTTGAGGAGAGCAGCAGGCCAGACAGGAGAGCCTGGCTGGCCAGGAATCAAACGGGCGCTACAGAGGCTGTGGACAGCAATGCGCTCAACCCACTGCATGACCAGGGAAGTCCCAGATGTGATTTTTTAAAAAAAGATTTATCTATTTATGCATACAAGAACTGGGGTGCAGGCCAGAGGTGCGGGGTGTGAGAGGATTCACCAGAGACAGAATGGGGAACAGAACAGGCAGACCGACTGAAATACACTGCTGAGGGGAGCAGCAGGAGAAACAGGAGAGGTCTGTCGCGCCGTGTGGGCAGCTCCCTGGCCGGCCGGGGATGGAACTTCTGCTGCAGAGGCTGTGGATAGCCTCACAGTGCTGTGCTTAACCCCTTGTGCCACCAGGGAGGTCCCAGATGTGATTTTTAAGATTTCTTGAAAGCTGTTTAGAAGATAAAGGGAAGACTGAAGTCAGCAGGGAGGCTAGTTAGAAAACCGTTGCATAGTCGGGGTAATGGTTACAGCAGTTACAGGTTACCGAGGGAGACTGTAAGAGTCTATTTATTGGGGTAAATGAAACAACTAGTCTCCTGTTGCCCATTCACTGCCTGGCATGAGCACTCAAGAGTTTGGCCCTTGTAATCAAGTCTTGGTTTAGTCAAGCTTATTTCTCTGGTACGGCAAGCCCTGAATTCGTTAGCATCACCTGGGGCACATTGTAATCCCCCAATAATTACTTCCTATTGATCTGCTCTAGTCACTGGGGCTGTTGATGGAAAGCCATTGGGCTGAATTAAGAATTAGGGTCTTAGAGTTTAACCCAAGAGGGAGCATAGAGATCAGCTCATTTTATCAACTCTCTTTGTATAAGAAAACTGGGGCTGAGATCTTGATAATACAAGACGAATGTGTGACTGTCCAAACTCACTAATAGGCTATTTCTAAAAGTGAGCTTCAAAATTGGATATTGCGAATTTGGAACATAATGTGCTCTATACACCCAAGTAACTGCCTAATCTGATGGCCCTTTGCATCTCAATGGCAACCCTGGCTTCAGGTCACAAAATGAAAGATTTAGGAAATGAAAAAGTGACTGTGATCTCAGCTGAAGGAACCCAGTTGTCACAGAACATTGTTTAGCATGGACTTAAGTATTCGAGTTTGATGGTGCTGCAGCAGCTCCTTTAAGAGGCTAGTCTCACTTACAGCCCCCTGGGAGCAGTTGTGTCTTGAATCTAGAGATGTGGGAGCAAACCTGAGATGCATCTATGCTGCCTTTCCTGTCTCATACTGCCTTGCTGGGTGAAAGCCCAGCACACGGCAGATGTGAATAATATTGCTCTCTACATTTCTTAGAGCAGGTGCTTTTGGCTTTTTGTGGAGTGGTATATATAGAGTCTGCCAGACAGATCAGACTGTAGTCTCTGTCACCCTGGTGATGGCCAGGCTGGATTTGACATCTCTGGCTGTCCAGCCAAGGCCTCTTTATCCACTGATGGCCTTAGGGAGATCTCGCACATGAGGCTGCATTTTTATGTCAAAAAGGCCAGTCTTCTCTGCCCCACTGTGCTTTCAAACAAGTAAGATCATGCTTGTAGATATGAAATGCTTTCTTTTGAGACTAAGAAAACCACATACTCCATGTGTTTTTGCTTTAGGGAGTTTTGTCATCTTCAATGGATAATCCTGCCTTCTTCCTTGCCTGCAATTTCCCATTCTTCAACCTCCACACATAGCCCCATAATTACTTTCTACATGTAAAAGCAAATAAAGAAGTAATTTCCTCAGGATGTTACAACTGAATGTACGTTACAGAGAAGTAAAAAGCTAGAGAAGAATGAGGGACTTTGGAGTCCTGGGGTAGAGTGTGAATCAGATTACTGTTTTAAGTAGGGTAGTTAGGCAAATGTCAATGAGAAAGTGAGATTTGGGGGCCTCCCTGGTGGCACAGCCGGTTGAGCGCCGTGCTATGAAGCTGTCTGCAGCCTCAACAGTGCGGGTTCGATCCCTGCCAGCCAGGGAGATTCCCACATGGTGCCGCAGACCTCTCCTGTCTTGCCCGCTGCTCCCCTCAGCAGTGTATTTTGTCAGTCTGACTGTTCTGCTCCCCACTCTGTCGCTGGTGAATCCTCTCACCCTCCTGCGCCTCTGGCCTGTAACCCCAGCTCCTTGTATTAAAAAAAAAAAAAGAAAGTGAGATTTGACTAAAACACAAAAGGGAGTAGAGAGAGGGCACCATTGTTGGTCTGGGGGAAAGGCAGAGGAAACAGCCAGTTCATAGACCTTGATGGGGGGAGTGTGTGTGAAGACAGAGGAGAGTAGGCTGTCTGGAGCAGTCGGAAGGAAGAGAGAGAAGATGAGATTAGAGAGGAAACAGGTCTGAATTACATGACACCACTGCCTGTCTCCCTACTTGTGATGAAGGACCAATTTGTTTTGTATTTTTCTAATCTATTATAGAGTGATATTATTGTAATATTTAATAAAAATAAATTACTGGAAAAACATGAAACTTAAAAAACATAGAAGTAAAACCCACTGTTTTATTATTGATTAATATAAACTTCCTCTATCAAATTGCTATAAAAGTTTCTGGAGATTGCCTTTGCATTTCTTTACTCATTTTATCATAGACTAAACCCACACCTTGGACTTTAACAGCTCTCCAGGAACGACACAGGACTTGATCTTTAATCTAAGCAAAAGTGAAAGCCTCTAGAGCATTTTGAACAGAGGGAAGATTTAATCCAACCTGAGTAGAAGAGTGGAGTGCAGGGACTCAGGGGGGAAGCAGGAGACCAGTTTTGAGACTTGCAAGAGATGATGCTGACGCAGATCAGGATGGTAATGTTGGAAAAGATAGAAAGTGGTTGGTTCTACATATATTTTTAAGGTTGAGACTGCAGAATTTTCTGGTGGATTGAAGGGGTATGAGAATTCAAGGACAAGTGAGGATTCAGTGTGGATAACAAAGAAGTTTAATTACTGTTGGCTGAGATTGGGCAGCTCTGACTGAGATGGAGCAGGTTAGGAGGGGATTGGCAGTTCTATTTTGTACGTTTTGAATTAGACTTCAATGCATAAGAGATCTAGGCACAATGTGCCTGAAGACCTTCGGGCTAAAGAGAAACCTGAGGAGTCCCTGAAATGCCCTCTCATCCGTGATCATTCAGCATCTCAGGGAAGGCCCAGTAACTGTATTTGAAAGGATTCAAGGAAATTCGCTTTTTGGTCTTACTTTTTTATTGGGGTAACATTAGTTTACAACACCACATATGATTTATGTTACCCCACCCATCACCAGAGCACCCATAATTTTCCACCATTGTCCTTTCCCTCCTCCCATTGTTCCCCACCCTCCACCCTCCCCATCCCTTATCCTCATTTATATAGTCAGATTTCTAGGATCTACTTAAGAGCCTCCATCAATGACTGCCTTCTGAAGATATAGTCTCCACATTTTGAAATCATTCTGCTTTTATAAATCTAGCCACAAATAAGAGAACTGTCTATTAATTCAAAGATACTAAATTTGATTGACCCTGAATTCTATGAGGCAACTGTAGAATTGATTAAGACTTAGGAACAATTTGGCTACATGATCTGCCACGCATTTGATTGCCAGGGTTAATTAATATAACTTCTCTAATTGCCTGTGATTATAGTATTTATCACCGAATTTTATTAATACTCAACATAAGATAGCTTTTGGTATTTTGATATCTAATGAATGAAAGGCATGGCACAAAAGTGTATAGTGGCCACAAGCCCATTTCTTTAAAATAAATGATACACTTAATTTCACCACATAACAAAGACCAGATGATAATACATTAAAATTTTTATATTTGACTGGTTGGATAGAGGTATTGTAAGTGGTATCTTGTATCTTGCGTTTTGGTGTATTATACACGTTTTGGTGTATAATAGAAATATTTTACACTTATAATTGGCAATAGCAATAACTGTTACAGAAAACAAGCACGTGGGATTGCCTTTTGATCTCTTCCTTCCCTTTGACTTCTACAGCTCACCATCTGCTATCTGGATATGCTGATGACCAGCGAGGAGCGCCGGAAGCAGCTGAGGGACCAATACTGTTTTGACTGTGACTGTTTCCGTTGCCAAACTCAGGACAAGGTATGTTGTATGGAACACATTTGGAATAGCTCCAGGAAATACTGCAATAATCTTTCAGAGATCTCTACTTTCACTTCATTTATCTATGGTAGCAAATAAAGGTGAACACAATTGTGCATTGTACTGCATGTATTTTGTTTCCTGGAACTTTTATTGTCCACCAAGCACAAGAGATATAATCTCAGAGAAGCACACATGAAGTTAGAGTCTAGAAAGAATGTAGGCATCAAATAAGTAATTAAAGGATAGTAGGGCCCAGATTACTAATCTCCACAAAGATATCTCTGAAGCCAATGTCATGAACTGTTTTGCCTATATTTACATCAATGTATTTTGTAGTTTCAGGTCTTAGATCCATGTCTTTAATCTATTGTGAGTAAATTTTTCTGTAAGTTGTAAGATCATGATCTAATTTCATTCTTTTGCATGTGGCTGTCCACCCTTTGTTGAAGAGACTTTCCTTTCCCCAGTGTATACTTTGGTTCCTTTGTGGTAGATCAAATGGCCATAGTTGTGTGGGTTGATTTCTGGGCTCTCAATTCTATTTCATTGGTCCCTGTGTCTGCTTTTATTACAGTACCATGCTGTTTTTATTACTATAGGTTTTTTAATATAGTTTGAGGACTAGCAATGTGATACCACCATTCTTCCTTTTATTTTGGTCAGAATTTTTTTGGCTACTTGGGGGTCTTTTGTTCTACTGAAGTTCTGTGCACTCCAGTGATGTTTGTTCATTTGTTTTAGTTCAGTGAAAAATGCAGTTAGAGCCTTGATAGGGATTTCATGAAATCTGTACATTGCTTTGGGGATGATGACCATTTTAACAATTATTCCAATCCATCAGCAGGACATGTCTTTCTATTATTTTGTGACTTCTATTTTTTTTTTCAGTTTTGAAGTAATCTTTTTTTTAAATTAAATTTTATTTTATATAATTCTTACATCACTTTTCATTTTTGCACAATATATGCATTTTCATCTTTGTTATAGTCCCCATACAATTCCTACCCCCCTTGTTTTGATCCTACTCCCTCCTCCTCCCTGGCCCAGTAGAGTGTCTCTGGTTTATAGTTGCTTGTTGATTTTGATTTTTGCTATTACTCAGCAATCAAAAAAGATAAACTCATGCCATTTGCAGCAACATGGATGGAACTGGAAGGGATCATGCTAGCGAAATAAGCCAGAAAGAAAAAGAAAAATACTGGATGGTCTCACTCATAGCAGGAATTTAGAAAACTTAAATAAGGGACCAGGAAAAAGACTAATTATAATAAGGGCTTCTATTTTTTTTTAACAGTCTCGTAGTTTTCATTGTGTAGGTCCTTTACCCCCTTTGTTTACTCCTAGATATTTAATTCTTCTTAATGTGATTATCAATATGGTTTCTTGATATCTGTTTCTTCTAGCTCATTGTTTGCATATAGAAATTCAGGTGATTTTGTAAATTCATCTTGTACCCTGCCATTTACTATATTGATTCATTTTTTCAATTAGTTTTTCGTGGAATCTTTAGGGTTTTCTATGTACATTATAAGGTCTTCTGAAAAAATTGATAGTTTCACTTCTTCATTAATTTGGATTCCTTTTTTTTGTCCTTCTCTTGCCTAATTGCTCTAGCTAGGACTTCCTATACTATGTTGAATAGTAGTGATGAGAGTAGGCATCCTTATTTGTACCAGATCTTAGAGGAAAAGCTTTCAGTCTTTCATTGTTCAGTCTGATGTTGGCTGTGGGTTTCTTATCTATCACATTTATTGTGCTTAGTTATGTTCCCTCTATCTCCATTTTTTCCATTTTTTTAATCATTAATGGATGTTGAGTCCTGTCAAATGCTTTCTCTGCATTTATTGATATGATCTTATATTTTTGATCTTTCCTTTTGATGATGTGGTGAATCACATTGATCTTTAGATGTTGAACAATCTTGTGTCCCTGGAATAAATCCTACTCCACTGTATTGTATAATCCTTTTGATGCATTTTTAAATTCATTTTGCTAAGATTTTGTTGAGAATTTTTGCATCTATGTTCATCAATGATATCAATGTGTAATTATCTTTTATTGTCATGTCTTTGTCTGATTTTGATATCCCAGTGATATTGATCTCACGGAATGTATTTGGAAGCTTTCCCTCTTTTTCATTTTTTGAAGGATTTGAAAAGGATAGGTATTAGTTTGTTTTTGAAAGTTTTATAGAACTTGCTAGTAAAACCGCATTGGCCTGGGCTTTTGTCTTTGGGGAGACTTCAATTACTGTTTCAATTTCTTTGTGATAGCTCTGTTCAGGTTTTTTTTTTTTTTTCCTGATTCAGTCTCTGGTGATTATAGATTTCTGAGAATTTGTCCATTTCATCTAAGTTATTCAGTTATCTGACTTGTAGATGTTTATAGTAATCTTCTTCTCTGTATTTCTAAAATATCTGTTGTAACTTCTTTTTCATTTCTGATTAGATTTATTAGAGTTTTCTCCCTTTTTTTTTAGTGAATCTAGCTAAAGGTTTGTTTATTTTTTCCCCTAAAAACCCAGCTCTTGGTTTCATTTATCATTTGGATTATCTTTTTTATTTCTATTTCATTTATTTCTGCTCTAATTTTTATTATTTCCATTCTTCTACTGGTATTCAGGTTTGTTTATTCTTCATTTTCTAGTAGTTAAAAGGGAGAGGTAAGGTTTTTTATTTGAGCTTTTTCATGTTTCTTGATTTGGGCCTATATTGCTATATACTTCCCTTGTAGTGCTGTCTTTGCTGTGTCCCATAAATTTTGAAGTTATGTCTTCATTTTCATTCATTTCCAGGTATTTTTTAATTTCTTCTTTGATTTTCTTATTTATCTAATTGTTGTTCAGTAATGTGTTGTTTAATCACCATGTATTAGAGGTACTTTTTTTTTGGCTGATTTCTTCTTTGATACCATTGTGATCAGAAAATATACTTGATATGATTTCATTCTTCATGAATTTATTGACATTTTCTTTGTGACCCAACATGTGAACTGTCCTTGAGAATGTTCCATGTGTGCTTGAGAAGAATGTGCACTCAGATTTTTTGGGTTTTGGTCTGTTAAACCTATATAGTCTAATTTTTGTTTAAGGCTGTTGTTTTCATATTAATTTTCTCTCTAGTTGATCTGTCCATTGGTGAAAGAGGGGTGTTAAAGTCTCAGATTTGCTAATAGTTGCCTTATGTATTTTGATACTCCTTTGTTAGGTGTATCTACATTGATGAGCATTATGTATTTCTGATATTTTGTTCCCTTAATCATTTTATAGTGTCCATCTCTGTGTCTCATCATCTTAAGTAACTGAAAGTCTATTTTATCTGATATAAATATGGCTGTCTGGATTGTTTTCAAATTTTTTTTTTTAATTATTCTTCAACTCTGTATCTTTGGAGCTCAGATGGATCTCTTGGATACAGCAGGAAGTTGGGTTTTGTTTTCTGATTCAATTCAGCCACTCTGCCTTTTGATTGATGAATTCAGTCCATTTACATTTAGGGTGATCATTGGTATATGAGGATGTGTTATTGCCATATTATCTGTTAGTTTTTATTTCTTTAAAATGTATTCTGTGCTTCTGTAACAGTGAATGGAGATCAATTATCTAGTAACTTTTACTATGAAAAGGAGGAAGAACCACTATCAATGCCATGAAGATGAATGAAGTTTTATTATTTTGAACCTTTCTCATTTTGAAGCTGTTTACTTTTAGTTTATACATAATCAGGTTATCTGATGAAATATTACTTTTGAAGTGGTTCATATTTATATAAACTCTTTTCTAAGCATTATCTCATTTGAACTCTAATTTATTATTAGGGAACAGAACTCAGGAAGGTTCAAAAATATGCCTCTGGGACAGAATGAAGGAAAAAGTGGCAGTACCAAGTCTTAAACTCAGATTTTTGACTAAGTCTGGTACTCCTTCCACAATGCCACAATTCTATAACTACCTGGATTTCTAGTCCCAGCATCAGTGCTTTCACTGCATGAGAAAGGTCCATGAGCACTTCTATTGATGCAGGTGTTAGTCAACATGATTAGTTTTTCTAAGAGCTTTTAGAAAGAAGTGAATTCATGGGAAAGCTCTCCAAGATTTAATCCACTTTGGTGTTATTCTTTTGCACTTCACATACATGCCTTGAGTGATTGCCTGGGTTTCTTCCCCAGCCTATAATCCTGAATGGCAAGCAATAAGCTAGCTTTCTAACCACATCATTTGTTGGGAATGGGTAGGATTTTGGATAGTGCCTCTTATGTGCCATCTATATGACAGGTATTCAAAAATTTCTTCAACAAATGGCTATATTTTATTAAAATTAGAGTCATGTGTACTTCTGGCTTATTATTATAGTTGAAGTCTTGGCTACAATCATATACTAGGAAAGGTTTTGATAATAAATAACAGATAACCTAATTAAAACTAGGTGTGGTGTGTTTGTTTCAAAACTTTTGGAGAAGCAGACCAAGATCAGAGCAAATCCTTATAGATCTCTTCCTAGACCTCTTCACAGACCCAGATTCCTTAGTTTTCTTCCTTAGCCACCCAAGTACGTGTCTTTTGTCCTCATTGTCACTGTGGCCTCCACCCCAGGCAGTGTGTATTCCAAACTCTAAGCTTAAAGGAGTAATAAAATTCAAAGAATAAAGAAAAACCCTCCCAAAGATTTCCACTTTAATCTTATTTTTCAGAATGGTGTCACATGACTGCCTTTAACTATAGAACAGCAAGGAAACTGCATTTTAGTTTCAGCCTTTATACTAGAGGAAGATAAGGAGAAGTAGACTGCAATGACTTTTGAGTGATCTACGGTGTCTACCATATTCATTGAGACCATTTTATTTCCTCCTTTGAGCTAAAGGTTTATTTAATATTGTATGAGGATTCGCCAGAGAAAGAAAAGCAACAAGATGAATGTGCATGAAAAGAGATTTATTATTAAAGATTTGGTTCATATGACAGTCCCAAGATCTGCATCCACCAAGCAGGTGACTCAAGA